GTTGACCCTGAGTGGTCAGCTAAATATCTACAGTGGATCTAAAATATGAATAGTTAATTATAACTAGTTATGGTTAATTATTCATATTTCCTGTCGTTGAGCTAAATTCGCTACAGCACTCTCAGTTAGATCATCCGAAGATGAATTCATAGAGACCAAACATGATATAGGTGAGGTTATATTAACTAGTGGTCTATCATAACATGCATAAAACAGCATACACTACAACAGACAATATACAAGAACAGTAATGGTATACACAATGACCTGAAGGATATGTGTATTCAATCAAAGAAAGGTTTTCCTATGAATTAATTAGAGAACAGTCCATTTCTCTGGGCATTATGTGTCTTTCCTATGAGGAAAATGAGGGAGTTTCTCTGCCCGCATTCCTTTAGGCAATAAAACCAGTGATATAAGCATTGGTTGCCATGGAACCAGAGGCCTGTTCTGCCTTTCTGAGGTGTTAGGTGCATTTCGGGGAAAGGGTCCATAGACCCTCGTAATTGGCCCTTTGGTTAGGTGAGGGGGCGTTAGATATTATTTGTTAAATATAACAAAAAGTTGTGTGTCTGATTGGTCCAAATGCTACAATCACAATGGATGTTAGCAGAAAAAGACTGATTTGAATCACGTGCAGAGCAAGACAAAAGCTGTGTTGTTGTTGAAGTAATTTGATAGTACAGAGATAAAACTAAATTACAAAAAAAGGGATCAGTCAAAACAAAAGTACTGCATGTGAGTTTAATTTACTAAGGTTTTAATGACTAATGTTCCAAAAGATGATGAAAATTGCTATTATAATATACTGTATATTTATAATAATAATACAAAAATAAAAACACATTATATTACAATTTAATATAACTATTTTCTATTTTATTATATTTTAAAATGCAATTTATTCCTGTATTGTTTTTCAGCAGCCATTACTCCAGTCTTCGGTGTCACATGATCAATCTGAAATCATTCTAATATTGGTGGTGCTCAAGAATGATTTATTATAAATGTTGAAAACAGTTTTGCCGATTAATATTTTTGTGGAAACTTTGTTTTTTCTTTGATGAATAGAAAGTCCTTTCTATTCTTTGATAACTATTCTATTATTTCTATACAACATTCTAAAAATTTTACCGTCATTTTTGACCAATTTATTACATCCATGCTGAATTTTATTTATTTATTTCAGCATAATATTGTCTAACTGCATATGTTCCATATGCATTTGACCCAGACAGTATGTAATAAATAAACATTAACACACATTACTAACCAAGTATCATCTTTGTGTTTGCTCCTGCAGGAAAGCAGGATTGATCCTGGCTCAGCTGGATGAACTCAGCGGTTGGTGCCGGGGTCTCCTCCAGGAACCTAAAATTGGCTTGCGCAGAGCATCCCTCAAGTATCTGTCTTGTCGTTATACAGATACCAAAGCATTCGGGCTTAGCTGGGTGAATCTCAGCCAAGACTTACGTAAGGCCTGTGAAGATCAGATGCTCTCCATTATGTACAATGATTATGGAGAACCCAAGGAGCTTTAAGCCAACTTGGACAACAAGAGGACCAGTCAGGGGCCGTACCTAAATGCAGCCTCCCCTTTAGGGCTTCTCTCTAGAGAATCTGGTCCATCGGTTTTAACATTAATTGGATATTTAATGATGAAGAGGAAAATATTTTGAGAACGAGCTCTGCTGATTTTTCAAGAAGTATTCAAGTGGTATGTCTATGGGCTTGCACATAAAAATGTACAGTGTACAGTCAAAGGAAAGTTGCATTAAAGTGTCATTTAGACGTGGTGTATTTTGTCAAATAGTGCATACACCAGCTTGTATAGGTAGGATTTTTTCCACAAGAACTAAAACTGTATCACCTTAATGTGCTGAAAATGTAAAATGTCTCTGTAGTGCATATAGATATGGAAAGAGCTATAGCAATTGTAAATGTTAGTTAATTATTAAACACTACTAATGTGCTGAATGTAGTATTCAAACTAAGGTATGAGAGGTCAAGAAACTGTAAAGGTATTTTTTTTTTTTTTTTTTTTTTTTTTTTTTTTTTTTTTTTTTTAAGTATAAGCAGTATTATGAAAATAACCATTTTAAAGTTGTGTTCAATAACATGTCTTGTTTATGTTTTATTTCCTATTCCAAATAAAATCTCCAACATTAATTCACTGATTATTTACTGAAATTTGAACAAAAGTAATGAGGGCTGCACAGTTTTTAAAGTCTTGAAAGTTGTGATTAAACTTAAGTATATCAACAGCTCTTTTCTTACGCATCGACATATATCTGAGCGGGAAAAAAAAGCAAGCCGGGAAAATATTTCTGTCCAGTTCAGCAGTTGTTGATTGGTTGGAGGCATATTTTAAGGTTGATTGTAAAAAGAGGTGGCACTTAAGCAGACTAAATGACTGGCCAGCATAAATCAACAGAGTCGTCTGTAATTTTCAAAACATTTAGTTGTGACATTTTAAGAACATTCAGAAATCCAGCCAGAAATCATTCAAAATAAGATCAATAACATTTAGAAAATAGATTGTCTTTAATATTTAATAATTTCTTATATAATGTTTTTTCCTTTATATTATTATTCGATTATTTCTTTAACAATGTGTTTTTAATATATTTAATATTTGACATTCATATGATTTCATATTGTAATTTCAGTCTGCATCTTGCACCATTTGATGGTTAAAAATAATCTGATATTATTTAAATCTTGATTTTATGTTCAATCAACTTTTTTAAACCAACCAAACTTCTTTAACGGTGTGTATTTATACTTTATTGATATGACCGTGAACCTACACTTTAACAGACAGAAGAGCATACAAAAATAGTATCATATATTTCCATTATAATTGCTATAAATGAAATCTCACATGCATTTCACAGGTTTTACATGTACAGGGTATAAAATAACGATGAGAGGAAAAAACCCTGAAATCTCAAATTTTGAAAGAACTGACAGTCTGAGATAAGCACTTTGTATACCTGTATTAATGACATATAGGTGGAAACAATATTGAATGTGGCTCACAACAAGCAAGAGCTATTTGTATAAAATATAAAAATCAGCTACACTTGAAACTTTTGTGAGTATGTGTTTGATGGTGTACATAATTGCATGTGGGCTAAAATATGGGTCATATCTACATCTATGTTAGAGATCTTGAAAAAATATTAGGTATTATTTTATAGATTAATATTGAAGAGGATTGTTTTTATGCACTTATATGCTTTGATTTACTCTGCCTTTGATCAGCCTGGCACTCATGTGGAGTGAGAAACATTCAGGTTATTGTTTGACATTTTCTTTTCAAGCCAGTCTGAGAGCTTTCACAGCGGTCCTGGCTCCTTTCGCTTGGCTGTGCCCTTGTTCTCCTCGGCTTCGGGGTCACGGCAGGTGCACTCATCGTGATCGCAGTCCACCCCGAACTGAATGACCTGTCAATCAACCAGACACGCTTTTACAAACAGCATCCAGAAAACATTCGACCACAAACATCTACGGTATGTGGGAGCCACACGCAGTCTTTGAACAAGAGATCAAAGTGTGGTTTGGATAATTCAGCTCAAAAATACTTTAAGGCATCACAGTAGATCAAAACAATGAGCACTGCCTTTTTCCAGATGCATGATCGACATCAACTGTTGACCAAATTACTCAGAATAACCAATAGAATAAGGGTCCATTGATGAAAAAAAATGTGGAGAATGGCCTGTTTGGGTGTTTATTTACCTAACCAGAAAGTCATATGGATTGGAATTTGTACACGATTGATAAGGACATGACGATCGCATTCAGTGCTGAAGGGAACAAAAAAAGAGAGAGAAAGCCTGACTGTGAGTAGATGAGTAAAGGAGGTGAACACATGTTAAGAATCAACTGGAGGAGGTTCTCGTCCAGGATTCGTGCCATCACCACAGGTTGCAAAATAAACCCAAATTCCCAGCTAAGCAGCCTACTCCAGGAAAAGTAAACATGAAAGTACAGCGTAAGCTCTTATTTCACCTGATGTTTACGAGATACAATTGTCTCACTGCGGTACATTCGAGAGTATACATTCATTAATATTGCATTTCTTTGGAAGACGGAAGTTTTGCTTTGGTTTCATGCTAAATAATCATGATAGATGCTTTTCAAAATATCCAAAAATATTCTAAATATTTGCTTTCGGATCAACCGCAATTGTATCTGTGCATATAATTTTGTTTCCTGTGCATGTGGCAGAATGCTAGAAAAGGAGCCACAGAAGAAGGGATGAGAGGAATTTGTTCTTTATTGTCCAACCTTGTCTCTGTCTCTCGTCCTAGACGCTCTTAAACCAGACTGCCCTACCAACCTACTCTGACTTTTCCATGGCTTGCGTAAACAGAAGCATGGCAGCTCTGCCGGACCTACGGTGGCAGGATGCTGTTCCTCACGGTTTATTTCACTTTCTCAGACCCTGCTTGTTTTAAAAAAAAAAAAAGTGAAGTGACATGTGGCCAAGTATGGTTACCCATACTAGGAATTAGTGCTCTGCATTTAACCCATCCAAAGTGCACACACACAGCAGTGAACACACACACACCGTGAACACACACCCAGAGCAGTGGGCAGCCATTTATGTTGCGGCGCCCGGGGAGCAGTTGGGGGTTCGGTGCCTTGCTCAAGGGCACCTCAGTCGTGGTATTGAAGGTGGAAGAGAGCGCTGTACATTCACTCCCCCCACCTACAATTCCTGCCGGACCGGAGACTCGAACTCGCAACCTTTTGGGTTACGAGTCCCCCCCGCCCGAGCTCATTCTCGCTATGGGAGATCACGCCACCTGAGTGCCTAATGATGTGGGCGACGTTCATGGAAAGGGTTGGCAATGTGGAGAGACAGAGAGTGGCACTGTGAGAGAGGAATGTGAAAGCAACGTAGCATGAATGTGGATGAGAAGAATAGCCTTTCAGATGAGATTTACCTTTCTAGATGAGAGAGTGGATGGACAGCAGTCTCCCCCGTCATATTGGCAGTACGCTCGGTTATTAATGGTGTCGCACCAACCATCTCCTCTGAATGGCTGCAAAGAAAGAGTTGCGATTAATTAATCAGATGCTGTCTTTTAAATGAGATTTTGAGTAATACATACAGAATAATGTTTATAATGTATATTTGCTGTACAAAGAATTTTTTTGCTTGTATTATTAAAATTGTTTTCATGTTAATTAATTAATTAAATTATAAATAATAATAATAATAATAATAATAATAATAATAATATAATAATTAATTATTATCATTGTATCAGTATCGGACAATATTGAATATTTAACTGTGCATGCTCATTTCCTTTTTTTACTTTTTTTTTACTGTAAATTATCTTATGCCATTTTCTAAAACTCGCTTAATCTTTAAAATCACTAATATCACTTTACAATAAGGATTTATTTGTTACAATTAGTGCTACTAGTAATACTCATAAAGCATTTATTAATCGTAGTTAATGTTAATTCCAACTTTTACTAATACATAATTAAAATCAAAAACATTACATTATTTAATGGACCTCAGCTAACATGAATTAACAATGAACAATTGTATTTTTATTAACTAACCTTAACAAAGATTATTAAACACTGTAACAAATGTATTGCTCATTGTTAGTTAATATTTGTTAATGATTAACTAATGTTAACTAATGAGACCTTATTGTAAAATATTACCATAATTTAAAAACACCGTTAAATGTAATCAAATGAAATTACAAAATAAAAATGGAATTACATCATTTTTAGTTGTCAGTCATAACATAAAAAAAAACAAATACAAACCAAATAAATAAATTAATTTCATGATCACATTAATCTAAGAATTATTAATGGTTTCAAAATAATTAATATTATATAAACAGGCAAACTATAGCCTTCCATATGCAGGAACAGTTTATTATACATCCAAACAACCTGAACTCACTGAACTAGTACATGTGCCCTTAAAGTATTTTAAAGGTTCAAGCATGAGTTACCTCATTTTATTATGTACAATTAACAGTTTTCTCTGAACATGAGGAAAGAAATGCATGGATCATGCCAAAGGGATTTCTGTTATACCTTATGGTAGGTGGCATTTCTCATTTATTCCTTTCAAATAAAATAAAACCGCATCTGTTATTCCAGACAAAACTTCCTAACTTCCTTGTACTTCCTTCGATGTCATTACTTCACCTGTGTGAGAGCATGGTTACCCGTTTTGCAATGCCCAAGGGAGCAAAATCCAACCTTCTTGAGTGGACTACAATTATCAAATTTAATATGCATAAACACTTTAAATGTGTCATAATGCCTTCCTAAAGGATTTCACCTAACCTTAAAGGATCTGATGCCAATAACAGGAAAACAAGTGCGGTCTGCCAAAGACACTTTTGGCTCTCTTGCGCATGTGGAGTCCTTTCAAAGAGTCCAGGTTCTACCTGATTCCACATCCCTGTGCAAGAGCAGCTGGCGAGGAGATCTCTGTAATTTATCCCTGCTAAACCTACACCCAATCCAAAATGTTTTTCCTGCCGTGGTCTCATTCTCCAAGTCATAAGCAATATCATTTTTTATTCTTCAGTTTCAAGCTTGTGTATACATAGTTTATTTCTTTATTCTTGCTCTCCATCCATTTTATTACCTAAAGCACATTGCAAATTTATTGGCCATAACAATGTAAAAAACCAGTCTTACCACTTTGTGTTTAAATGAACGTGTTACATATTGCAAGTTAAATATCTGAATCTAAAACACATGCATTATTAATGTTGTTTTAGAAAAGGCTGGAAAACGAAAAATGACCTAATGCCTGAACTAAAGAGTCGTGTAACAGTAAATGGGAAGGATTTGTGGAATGCATCTGCTCCAGCCAGCATGGAAAACTGCCAGTGAATGTTAAACAACACTGTAGTCAACCATCTGAAGCACTACACAAAATCATCTGACACACATATATCTGGCTCAAGACAAAACAACAGTCAAAAAAAAAAGTCAAAATCTTGACCACCACAGACACTCAGATGACCAAAACAATAGACAATATAATGTTTTAAATCATTTAAATCTCTTGCTTATTTTCTTCTAAATTAATCATGCTAAATTATTACAATAAATTGACAAATACTTGCTCATTGTGTCTGTTTTGGCTCAATAGATTTATTTTAAGCATAAGGAGCTGCAGTGATGTTTTGATGGAAGGACACAAGCATTTAAATGATTGATTTCAGTGTTTTGTGTTTATATTCAGTTTATTTAGACAACATAGTATACGATTTCAATATCTATCATTTTTTCAGTTGTCAGTGATAACATTAATAAAATTTAAAATAATAAAATAAAATCTAACTAGTAAATTAATAATAAAAAAATTTCGTCATAAGCAACTGCAGTGCAACTCATGAGGTGTTTTTATCAAGGTTTCGAGACCTAATAGGAAAGACTCAATGACCTTACTGTAATCCAATAATAAATATAAATACCTCTTCAGATTGCCCACTGCTCAGTGTCAGTTCAGGCTGTCCACTTTGAGGTATATCCTAAAATTTATTTTCCTGGCCTCCTCTCAAAGAGGGGTTTTAGTAGGCAACCCTGCTATGTTTTGGGCAGAATCCAAAGCTTGATTTGGATTACTGAATTTATTGAAAATGAAACTCTCTATGAGTCACTTAAAAAATATGTATTTTTTAAAAACACAATTAACCCCTAGCAACAGTTTCTGTGATGAACGTTTGCAATCTGAGATACCGGAGATCAACAAACCGAAATCTTATCTGAAGCAAACAATGAAGGTGTCTTTTCACCTTACAGTACACGTCGTCGGGAGAAATCCCTAAACATCCCACAGGAGCGAGGGAGGACACACTCCACAGGTTGCCTGACCGAGCACATCTAATGCTAAGCGAAATAGAATAGAATAAACAAATCTCCTTGGCAACAACATGTTTTCATGGACAACATTGTTTTGAGGCCTCATGTTAGTGCTGGCATCTCACTTCACTGAAGTATGCGGCCCTTGATTGGCTCTCTCCAGAGTTCCCAAAAGACTACTAATTATGTTCCCCTCCATTTCATTTCTAATGTAAACTTTAATTTTTTTGTCTTTAAATGCAAGTTGAATATGCTGAAAAACTAATTTTAGGTAACACATCACAACAGTGAAAGGCCAAATGAAGTGTTTCCAGTTTTTTTGTGTTTGTGTCTTGTCAACTCTTTCCATAATGTTAAGATGAAGAAACCCAGTGCATGTCCTGAGAGGAATCAGATGACCATTCTTCTAACCATATTTGCAGCAAGGAATGTGAACAGTGGTTCTTCGTAAACTTGTGGCATCATCTGTAAGGTTTTCTCAAATGGAGCCACACAAAAAGGGGAAAAAGTTTACTCAAAAGCTGGTTTGAAGCAGTCAAATAAATTGTACTTTATAGTAGCAGAGGAAAAACAAAAACAAACAACTCCAATAGTCCAAAGCTCAGAAGGGCAAAGAAAATCTAAATCAGTGAGGGTCAAATCAAGATTTAAAAAAAGAGCAAACTGAGGAGTTTCAACAGAAACTACCAGAAGAAAGCTTTCCATTAGCATTTTAATTCATCTGAAAAAATGGACAGAGGAGCCTCTTAAATAAGAAGTTACAGGTCTGTGAGAGCCAGAAATCTTGCTTGTTTGTAGGTGACCAAATACTTATTTTACCGAGGAATTTACCAATTAATTCTTTAAAAATCCTACAATGTGATTTTCTGGATTTTTTTTCTCATTTCGTCTCTCATAGTTGAGGTATACCTATGATGAAAATTACAGGCCTCTCTCATCTTTTTAAGTGGGAGAACTTGCACAATTGGTGGCTGACTAAATACTTTTTTGCCCCACTGTATATATAAAATTCAAATGTCAAAATTCCAGTACCATGGGTTAGAAAAGCAGACTTAAAGTCTACTTATGTTTGGCCTTGGTGGTTCAAAATAAAATATTAATAATGACACAAACTAAAGCATAACCTGAGCTGACCTCTTCACTTATAATTAGCCTATAATAGGAAAGACCTTCTGGACATGTTGCAGAGCAACTGGAACATGTGCTGTGGTTTAATTTATACTGAGTCTCCAATATAAAAGCAACTGTTTTGCTTGGTAACAAATGAGGGCAAGAGAAGATGAGAGGGTCTGGCAGATATGAGGGGTATTTGAATATCATAAAACATCCCTCTACAGGAATGGTGTGTTCCAAAGTAGAATGAATAGATCATAAAACCTGTCTGCTTTACTCTGAAATTATATTAAGAATGATCAAATCTGATATCCACAGGAAAAAATAAAAAAGGCATGCTACTGATGATAAAATTAGACAAACTAAATATATTGTCTTTTTATGATCAAAATGTTAAAGGGTTAGTTCACCCAAAAATGAAAATTAGCCCATAAATTACTCACCCTCAAGGCATCCTAGGTGTATATGACTTTCTTCTTTCAGACGAATCCAGTCGGAGTTATATTAAAAATTGTCTTTGATCTTTCAAGCTGTTTAATGGCACTCAGTGGGTGTTGCAGTGCTACAGTCCAAAAGAAGTGAAATAAAAAGTGCCCATCCATAACAAAAAGTGTCTCACATGGCTCCGGGGGGTGAACAAAGGCCTCCTGTAGCGAATCGATGCATTTTTATAAGAAAAATAACCATATTTAAAACGTAATAATCACTTTAATCTAGCTTGCGCTCACTGTTGTAAACGGAAGCAGTTCCGGGCGGATGACGTATGAGGATTCGTCTGAAAGAAGAAAGTCATATACACCTAGGATGCCTTGAGGGTGAGTAATTTATGGGCTAATTTTCATTTTTGGGTGAACTAACCCTTTAAGATTAAAATTTGTTTAAAAATTATATACATATAAAGATTTATTAGATAAACAATTTGATTTACCTTTCTTTATTAAATACATTAAACATTTAAATGTATTTTATTATTAAATACATTTTATTAAATACATAAAATTAGAAATGTTTTTGCTATATTTAGAAAAAAAAAATCCTAAACAATTGATCCAAGTCTCATGCATTTGATTGGCACACTGTACTAAACACCACACCACCCTTTCACTTGAAAGATATTACAATAAACAGTCATCCATTATTTCCAAAACTCTCTACTGTTAATTTAAACACTATTTTCGATTCCAGACTTCACATGACTCTGCTGCGTTACTTCTGTTGACTTTTAGCGAAGCCTGGTATGTTACTTTCGTCACATATCATTTGTGATTATTTTAATGCATCCATCAGTTACATAACACCTTTAAATTCCTGCACACACACACCGATAAGATCATTCATTTGCTTTGGCACCTCAGCACTACAATTGTCGACAAAGTCTGATGAGTTAGTGCTTGGGGTGAATTTAAACAGGATTCTGTGAACTGCAGGAAGGACTCTGGAGGAACAGAAACTGGAATAATAAGTTTTATGATCATGTATATACCACATTTTACAGTGGCAATGATATTTTCATTCGGTTTTATTTTTGTGATAAAAGGAGACCTGGTGAGAATCAATCTGTCAGCATGCTGTGGGAAGATGTGGCATGCAGTCCATCAACCATTGCACTAAATGTTTCTCTTGGCCAGGAAAAATGTAAAAGATGTCTCCATATGAGAGCGAATGGTGTCGGAAATCCATGACAACAAAATGCCTCATTACTGACGTAAATGTAAACTTGGGAAAGTGTAAACCAAATACAGACAAAATAAAAATAGAAAACTAAATGACTACGCTTCTTGACCCTTTGGAATGGGTTCATTCAGATCTGAATTCCTGCAGGCGTAAATGGCTTCAAAGTCATGAATATTATGTGCTACTAGCCCGACCTTTTATGCTTTATTTATACATGCTTTTAAAAAAATGGATCACGGATTTGATTTGCGAGTTCCATTTTGGTCAAACGGCCCAGTTAATAAGATGAACATGGAGTTATGACTACAGAGATAGTGAAGAGCAAAACAGGTTTCCCCATCTGCGTACGAAGCTCCATGACACAATAATTGGAACATAAAACTAAAAAAATCAACACCATCATCATTTATCACTGATTATGGTGCTCCCTGATCCTCCTAGACCACCTCAATCCTCTGCTGGTGGTTATCTATCAGACTGCTCTTTTCTCTGCTAGATCTGACAGTAGACAGATGTGAACGCTGCCGTTGGTTTTACATCTTCCAGTGTGCACCAAAATACTGCTGCCATACACTACAAATCAGTATTATAACAATAATTTTTTATTTAATGCAGCATCATTGTTACAAACCAATATACCCTTTTTTTTATCAGTGGCAATCTCTAAAGTAGATTTTTATTATTTTATTTATTTTTTCTTTAAAAAGTTGTAGCATAACTTTGTGTGGGGAGTAGAACAAAATATAACTTGTTATTATTCACTAAAATGCTCCCCTTTGTTTGTAGTTCTTCACTTGTCATTGATGTAAAACATGTATAATATATATTTATATGATGTTTATTTATATGATACACTAAATAATATAAATTTTAGATTTTTTTCTTCTGAATTTTTTTTATAATTTGTAAAATGTATGTTGGTTTTGCTGTCACTTTAGATCAATTTAATACTTTTTTACTGAATAAAAGTATTAAATCCCACCCACCAAAATAAATAAATAAATAAAAGTCAAATATCGTACTGACCCCAAACTTTTGAACAGTAGTATTTATAAGGAAAAATAATAATGAATACATAAAATTAGATTTTTTTTAAATGTATCCAAGTCTCATACTTCATTAATTTGAATGACATAATGTACTAAACACCTCTCCACCCTTTCACATTTTTAAGATATATCCCGACATCACTGGCATAGCTAAAATCCCGACAGAAATACAATGAACAGTTATCCATTATTTTTGCCCCAAACACTCGACTGTTATTTTCAACACTATTTTCACTTCCGTGCTTCAAATGTTTATCGTGTGACTTCAGAAACCTTGAAATATAGTGATCAAGTCTTTTGGACTACTTTTAGGGAGCTTGTATTATTCATTATTCAAGTTTTTGGTCAACATAAACTGTTGTTCTATGGAAAAGAGCTGCATGAACATCCGTTACAAACGGAAAAATACTGAATGAATACTGAAAAAAGAAAAGCATATGGTTTTCTAACAACATGAGGGTGACAGAATCATCTAGAATTTAGAAAGAATTGAGAATAATTTCCATCTTGCACAAAATCACATTAGCTTTGAGGAACTATTTTGACTCTTGTGCGATGTTGTACTTCATCACTAATCAGAAAGACTTCACGTAATATAATTGGCACTCACCTCACAGGACTGAATGCAGTGGATCTGTCCTGGATTCGGATGCCACTTCAACATGCCAGTACAGACAATACTCTTTCAAAGGAAGAGAAATAGAGGAGCAAGAGAGGGAAGAAGAAGGGGAAGGGGAAGGAGAGAGTCAATTGCTGCATTGTAATGATGACATAAAGCAAAAAAGGTGACTTATTACGATTGATGAAGTTCTTGTAACAATTCTTCTTGAGAGGAAATTTGAAAACGGGGTTTCTATTTATTTCTACTTTATTTAGACTTTTCCAGAAATCTAATAATATCTAACTTAATTTTAAAAGACAAAAACTGAGACATGGTGCCTAAAAATAAAATGGCAAATTAATATCCAATAACAATTACATATAATAAGGGTTACTTTTGCCCTCCTGTCCTTTCAATTTGAACAAACATGTCACTGATTTGACATTTTCTCAGAATTGGAAAGCTGACCTGTTTCTAAAACAGAATTTCTGGAAAGAAACTTGCTTATCTCTTATTCATCTCCCTCCTACTGTGACCTTTACGCCATCATTCTTACCCAATCTGCAATACTTTGGACAACATTCCTGGAAAGCAGGCTGTTCTTTAGGGGTGCTGATGTATCATTATAAACAATGGGAGTCCGACACCTTCAGAGCTTCAGGCTTGACGTGTGGCATTTTAGGCGTCTCTTATAAAAACATCACACTGTAATCATTACTCTCACGAGCTGATATGACACTGAGAGACAGAATCAACACTTTGGCAGAGAGATTTCAATGGTAAGGTGAGTTGAACCCGGTTTTGTAGCGAGAATCAAGGTAACCCAATCCAATTTATCACTCTGATGTGCCAATAATGTGATTCCATTTTTGTGTCCAAAGTATTCAGTCTTAAAGCTCCTCTGCCAAGAGCCAAAATAGGTTCCCCCAAACAAAGATCATGTCATGATGTGTGGAACAGGGAAAAACCCATTTCATTTCAGTCTTAGAAAATCCCTTTAAGGGACATTTTTGAGAAGTCTTTGCTACATTTACAAGACTACTTTGTTTCTGGGTTGAATTATTGGTCAAGGACATCCTGGTTCCTAAAAGACATCAACCATTTTCCAAATTGTCACATCACATCCAAGCATGTTGACTATGATGGACAGGTAGATGATAAAAAAAAAATCACAATTAATAAAAAAAAAAACGAACCCACAATATCAATCGATCCATTCATCCATCCATCTATCTATCCTTTTATTTAGTGCCATATCAGCATTAAAGTCTAGTCAAGAGCAAAGTAGTTTATAGTAAAAGAGACAAACAGTAAGCTTCTTACAACATTACAATAAAGACTAGTTAAAGGTGACCTATTATGCCGCTTTCTACAATATGTAATATAAGTCTCAGGTGTCCCCAGAATGTGTCTGTGAAGTTTAGGCTCAAAATACCCCACAGGTCATGTATTATATAATTTTTAAAAAGCCTATTTTGAAAGAAAGCAGAAACACACGTGCAAGTATCTTTAAATGCAAATGAGCTGATGCTCAAGAGTAAAATGGGTAATGATATCCACTTAACTTTATATTTGAAGCATATTTTAACATTCAATATGCCTTAAATGCAACATATTACGTTATATTTTTCTTTACACATGGTTAAAAATATGTTTACTGATAACCATGGAAATCTACAAATACTATAACTACGGTCACTTTAGTAAAACCATGGTTAATTTTCATAAGGGACTGCCAGTGACAGGCTGTTGCATGCATAAAATGCAACCTTTTTATTCTGACAGTGTATGATTTATACTAACATCACAGAATAGAACATGATCAATATGAACTCAATATGATCCTCTGATAAGCATTGTTCTGGGCTGCCAGACCCAAAAGCATCAATGGTTTCTTATGATACTTTAGGGAAACGCAGCCCTGTGTAGGATATCAGACCGAATCAGACAATCTAAGATTTGGTCAAAACCGAGTTGAGGCACGAGGAGTCACAAAAATTCCACAGAGGCCCAAGACAACAGGATGTCATAAATCAGGCATTAGCCCTCTGAAGCAAGCCTAAACCTAAACCCCTGTCACAGATCCTTTTTCAACATTAACACAAAAGAAACTTCATTTCCATGTGAATATGCATCTAAATGACACTAAAAGGACTCGAGCAACTAACCATTGCTACATATCTAACCCCATATCATGTATCTAACCCACATGTTTAACCATCATGCCTTCATCATTTATTGTGAATGTATTTTTAATAACTATTGAATAGTTTAAGAATTGCTATTGATGTTTAGTATGTGTGTGTTTGAGAATTCATGCTTGAAACGTTTCTTCCAATCAATACTTGGTCAAATGTATCATATTCTTATTATAAGAAATCATGTCCAAAATGTATACTCTACCAGAGCGGGAAAAACGCAGATCATGTGA